GTTTTTTCAATATTTTGGGTTGGTGCAATTGATGGTATTGGATTTGAAGAAAAAGGTGTGATTTGGAGATGGGATGGATTGATAAGTGCAATAAGTATGTATACATTTTGTTATTGTGGTCATGCTGTTTTCCCAACAATATGCAATTCCATGAAGGATAGGAGCCAATTTCCCAAGGTGATAATATCTTATTGATAAACATGTATTACTTTAGTTTCAGTTTACGTGGTACTTTTTGGGCATAATACATAAATGTGCCCTTTAACTTGGCCTCATTTTACGTTTATGTCCTTCAACTTTGGGTATGCACAAGTACGCACTTAAACTTGTATAAAGTTGAATAAGTAGACACATGAGTCCTACATGGCATTATACACGTAAGATACCACGTAGGATAAAAAAAATGACATGTAGGATGCCGTGTAGGACATGCGTGTCTATTTGTTCAAATTTATACAAATTTTAAGTGTCTATTTGTGCACACTGAAAGTTGAAGGGCATAAATGTGATTTGAAGCCAAGTTAAAGGGCATATTTATGTATTATGCCTACTTTTTGACTAGAAATAAATCTTAAGAAAGAAGGAAATATTTTTTTTGAAAGTTGTGGTTGTATATCGTTTCATGAAGGGCGTAAAGGAAATTTAAAGTTATGTTATTTTTCTGTTATAGAAAAATCGATGACATCTCTTTTGGGACGACAAATTAAAAATTATATAAAAGTACGTCAAAAAATGAGATGGAGGAAGTATTACTCCCGCGCCACATAGAAAGTGTTTCAACACTTGGAAGTTGGAGAGAAATACTCCAACCACAGAAATAGACAAAACAATACAAAAACATACAGAAAGACACAAAAATATACGGAACAGAAATCGCGATATGTACAACACTCGTTAATCCAATAACAAAGTATGCTCTTGTCGTCTCTCCAATTGCAACGGCTATTGAAGATAAATTACCTTTACGAAAGAGTAAATTTATCGTAAACTACTTCATCAGAACACTTTTTGTCATCTTCCATGTTCCATTCTTTCCCCTCCTCGATGATTGTGTCTTTTAGAATTAGTTCTTGAAGGTTGGGTAGTCTACCAATTCTTGAAAGTGTATCGGATGTCAGAGAGAGCCATTGCAACCTCATTTTCTTCAAGCTCAAAGGGTGTATATATAACTTAAATCCTTTTTTTTTTCTTTTTTGTCAAACAGGTTTTATTTGTGTGCTTTATATTAAGCACCATAACCTATGGATCAATGGCAACTATGGGGTACTTAATGTATGGACAAAATTTAATGTCACAAATAACATTAAATCTCCCTACCGGGAAAATTAGTTCAAAAATCGCGATATATACGACACTCGTTAATCCAATAACAAAGTATGCTCTTGTTGTCTCTCCAATTGCAACAACTATTGAAGATAAATTACCTTTACGAAAGAGTAAATTTATCGTAAGCTACTTCATCAGAACATTTTTAGTCATCAGCACTGTCATTGTGGCGTTAACCGTTCCATTCTTTGGATATGTCATGACATTTACGGGCGCTCTTTTGGGGGTTACCGTGTCGATATTGTTACCATGCCTATGCTACCTCAAGATCAAGAAGCCTTCATATTTGGAAGTTGTGTTTATTGGGATGATTTTGGTTTTTGGTTCTTCAGTTGCCATATCTGGAACTTACACTTCTTTGAAAAACATTATTAGTCATGTCTAGAGGTGATAGATGAACGGTTTGGACAAAATTTGGATGGGTCAGAATGGACTGAATCAATGGGTCGTTGCTCAATCATGTCCTAATTAGTCAAGATGGGCTAAATAATGGTTTGTAGATTACAACTAATACATAGTAATGAAAAGCAAGCACGCATACAATATCTCATCCGTTATAATAAAGAACACAAGTACATGTCTTGAGAATTTGTATGCGCTAGCTCGATCTGATCTGATCTGCAAAGAACATATATTGTATAAGTTAAAACAGTAATATTGGAACAAAACATAACATTTGTAAAAGGAAAGAAGTTAATGAAGCATACCTCAACCAAAGAAGACTACCTCAAGCTTGTCTTCTCCAGTAATTTCTTCAACATATTCCTTAATTTTGAAGATCGACTCTTTAAGCTGAGGGCTGCACAGTACTTTGATAAGCTTTAATGACGCAATATCTCCAAAACTGTCTGGGATCTCCATAAGCTTATCACATGAATCTATACCTAGTTTCTCGAGCACGGGAAAGGATTTCTCCATGTGACATCTTCCATGTTCCATTCTTTCCCCTCCTCGATGATTGCTTCTTCTAGAATTAGTTCTTGAAGGTTGGGTAGTCTACTAATTCTTGACAATGAATCGGATGTCCGAGCGGGCCCTTGCAACTTCATTTTCTTCAAGCTCAAAGGGAAGCCGTGTGTATATTCATGGAATGAATCCCAAGAAGAAGCAGATAAACTGAGATCTTCAAGTTCGTCAAGGACATCCAATCTTGGAAAACAAATCTTCTCTGCTGAACAATCTTCTGGTTGTGTGATACAGACTCTAAGGTTTTGAAGATTAGGAAACCTTTTGAAAAAATCCTCCGTGTCTTCTGAACCGGGAAGGTAGAGCTCATATAATGTTCTCAAATTTTCTAACCTTAAATCCTCATCTAACACAGTGATGTCCGGATCAAAGAGAGCACCCCCCATCATCCGTACATCTCGTAGCTTTGCAAGAGTCCAAAAACAAGGCGATAGCAACATGTGTGATCCCTTCGGGCCTTCCACCACCAGAGTTTCTAGATTGCAGAGGTTTGAAAATGACGGAGGGAGAGCTTTAGCCTTCGTCTGAATGTGTAAGTACTTCAAATGACTGAGCATACCAATTTGATTTAGCAAAGAATTTGTCAATGTTATGAACTTCAAATCCAAACTTTTAAGAAGCCTCAAGTGTTTTAGCTGACTCTTGCGAGGAAGACAAGCCTTATAGGCCTTCAGAATGAGGAGGTGTTTAACATAACGATTCTTCTTTTCTGGATTAAACACCACAAAATTTTCATCCAAATCAAAGAAACGATTGGTAATTACTCGTGCCATCATACCAGAAGAAGACGAAGCGTTTGAACCTCCTATGACGTCAAACATCTTTTCCTTTCTAGATTTTATATAACAAAAGTCATGCACAAGATCATGCATTTGGCAACTAAAATCATCGAGAGGTATTACCAAGCTACTTGAAATTAACTCATCCACTACTTCTTCTGCACTTCTCATCGAAATCTGCTGCACAAATCCTTGAGAAATCCACATATCTATCAAATGAGAGATAATTAAACGTTTGTCCTTTGGATAACCTGCAAGGCAAACAAAACACGGCTTTACGTGATCTGACAAATGGTCATAACTTAATTGTATAACCTTCACCACTTCCTCTTCATCCTTAAAAATAAAGGAACTCAAATTATTCAGAACTTCAAGCCACAAAGCCTCTTTCTTTTCCTTCCGTGAAATGACTCCACCGATTAGATCAAGTACTAAAGGAAGCCCATCACACTTTCGAGCTATCTTTTCTCCAACATCCTTTAGTTCATCAGGGCAACGTTCTTCTCCGAATACCTTTTTCTCTAATAACTCCCAACTTTCTTCTGATCTTAGCAATTGAAGATAAAGAGGATCACTATGGCATTTTCCATGCAAAGCCACTTCCTTTTTTCGACTTGTTAAAATCACTCTGCTTCCTTTCCGTAATTCAGGAAAAGGTCTTGTTAGCTCATCCAATGTTGCAGTATCCCACATGTCATCCAAGACAATAAGGTACCGCTTTCCACATAGTCGTTTCCGCAGCTTATCAGCAACGTCATCATCTATGTCATGATCCTCACTGAATTTTTCTTTCAAACCAATAACTTGATTGAAAATTTTCTGCAACAACTTTTTCTCATTACGTTCCTGGTCGACTGTGCACCAAGCACAAACATCGAAATGATCAACAATGGACTTATCATTATACACTCTGTAAGCCA